TGGCGGCTACAAGCATGGACGGCTTCAAGAGGCAACTGGATAAACATATGGAGCAGAGGTCCATCAGTGGCTATTAGCCGCAAGGTATAGCCACTGTGTGACACAGAGTGTTGGACTGGATGGGCCACTGGCCTGATCCAACATTGGCTCCTCTTCTGTTCTTAATTTCAGAGAGACCAGCAGAGTGCCGAGGGAAAGGGGAGGCAGGCAAGTTCCATTAGGCAAAGCTGGCTCGCGCCGTTTCCAGCGCAATACTACACAATTTTTTATTGTTCTTAATTGAATTAAATGGGGCCATCGCTCATAAACAGAATAAAACACACTACTGAGTTTATTAATTTCAAATTTATTCACTCAGTTCAGGGGGGACGGGGAGGGGGCACTGCATAATGATCCCAAAAGGTGCGCCGCTGTTCTAACCACTGTAGGACACTGCCGCTCTCGGGGGATCTCTCTCATCAGAAGGCTGTGTTACCGCACAACACTCAAGTTTCTCACAGTGTGCTTTAGAAGCAGTGGTGGCCAATCCTTCCAGGAAGAGTTTCGCGGGCCGAGATCACAGTGTGACCGCCACACCCCGCCAGCAGAAACATAGCTCTTCAGGCTCTAGCCTGCAATTTCAACCCACCACATCCTTTCAGTAGACCTTAATGAATTTGGCTAATCTCCTTTAAAGCCATCTGAATCGGGGTCCGTCCCCTCCTTTCATGCCAGTCTACATATTCCATAAGATAATTTCAAGAATTACACTCGGGAGGTGGTGGGCCCTCCTTCTTTGGAGGTTTTCACACAGAGGCAAGATGGCCATCTGACAGCAATGCGGATCCTGTGAACTTGGGCAGATCATGAGAAGGGAAGGCAGGAAGGGGTTGCCTCAGTGCTTAGTTCTCGTGGCCCTTTCTGACACGCCCAGGGAAATGCCAGTCGCCATGATGGGGTCAGGAAGCAATTTTTCTCCAGGCCAGTTTGGCTGGAGATCCTGGAGGTTTTTTGTCATCTTCTGGGCATGGAACAGGGGTCACTGGGGGCGTGAGGGGGGGGATTTGTGGATTTCTTGCATTGTGCAGGGGGTTGGACTAGATGACCTCGGAGGTCCCTTCCAACTCTATGATTCTATGATTCTAAGTAAAGAAGGACTTTCTTTGTTCCACCCTGGATCGACTGCCCATAAGATTCAGCGAGTGACCCCCAAAGACTCCTAGCAGGATAGTCGAAAGTCCTAATTTCTCCAAGCCACACATGGTTTTAAGGTGACCTCCTTCTTTAGAGAAAAAGAACAGTAGACAAAAAAGCCCTGAACCACAGGGAACAAAGGTGTGCTGACTTCTCGATTTTGTACACTAAGATTCACGCCGGCTCTTTGTAACAAATGCCCTGCAAAAAACCTCTCTCTCCTTCTTGCTAACCAAGATAAGGCCACCATTCATAGGACTTAATACGATAAGAACATAAGAACATAAGAGAAGCCAATGTTGGATCAGGCTAATGGCCCCTCCAGTCCAACACTCTGTCACACAGTGGCCAGAAATACCAGGTGCCATCAGGAGGTCCACCAGTGGGGCCAGGACACTAGAAG